TGACTGAAAATAGCAAATGATGTCAGAACGCATTGAAAATTGATGACGTCACTTTGAATGGTGCATACGGAACGCAAAAAAGTCTGGAGTTCAAATAAGTTTAAAAAAATGAAGTGCTCGTGTAACAGATGAGTTCTCGTGCGGAACCCTGATACTCCGAAACAAATTGTCCAGTTTGTACATGAAGTGCGTCCAGTTTTTGCCATAACCCTCTCTACTCTTTTGCGCATGCTATGTGGGTGAAATGATGATACCATACCAAGTTCCAACATTTTCGGAGTTCATTTTGTAGTGATTTTCAATTTCACGGTCATTTAGCTCTCTAAACAAATCAATAAATGACTGAAAATAGCAAGTGATGTCATATCGTGTTAAAAATTGATGACGTCGCTTTGAATGGTGCATACGGAACACAAAAAAATTCTGGAGTTCAAATAAGTTTTAAAAAATGAAGTGCCCGTGTAACAGATGAGTTCTCGTGCAGAACCCTGATACTCTAAAAGAGATTGTCCAGTTTGTACATGAAGTGCGTCCAGTTTTTGCTGTAACCCTCTTTACTCTTTTGCACATGCTATGTGGGTGAAATGATGATACCATGCCAAGTTTCAACATTTTCAGAGTTCATTTTGTAGTGATTTTCAATTTCATGGTCATTTAGCTCTCTAAACAAATCGGTAAATGACGGAAAAATAGCGAATAATGTCAGAACGTGTTGAAAATTGATGATGTCGCTTGGAATGGTGCATACGGAACGCAAAAAAGTCCGGAGTTCAAATAAGTTATAAAAAATAAAGTGCCCATGTAACAGATGAGTTCTCGTCCGTAACCCTGATACTCCGAAACAAATTGTCCAGTTTGTACATGAAGTGCGTCCAGTTTTTGCCGTAACCCTCTCTACTCTTTTGCACATGCTATGTGGGTGAAATGATGATATCATGCCAAGTTTTAACATTTTCAGAGTTCATTTTGTTGTGATTTTCAATTTCACGGTCATTTAGCTCTCTAAATAAATCGGTAAATGACTGAAAAATGGTAAATGATGTCAGAACATGTTGAAAATTGATGACGTCGCTTTGAATGGTGCATATGGAATGCAAAAAAAGTCTGGAGTTCAAATAACTTATAAAAAATGAAGTGCCCGTGTAACAGATGAGTTCTCGTCCGGAATCCTGATACTCCGAAAGGGATTGTCCAGTTTGTACACGAAGTGCGTCCAGTTTTTGTCGTAACCCTCTCTACTACTCTGCACATGCTATGTGGGTGAAATAATGATAGCATGCCAAGTTTCAACATTTTCAGAGTTCATTTTGTAGTGATTTTTAATTTCACGGTCATTTAGCTCTCTAAACAAATCGGTAAATGACTGAAAAACAGCAAATGATGTCAGAACGTCTTGAAAATGTATGATGCCGCTTTGAATGGTGCATACGGAACGCAAAAAAAGTTTGGATTTCAAATAATTTTAAAAAAATAAAGTGCTCGTGTAACAAACGAGTTCTCGTCCGAAACCCTGATACTTCGAAAGAGATAGTCCAGTTTGTACATGAAGTGCGTCCGGTTTTTTCCGTAACCCTCTCTACTTTTTTGCACATGTTATGTGGGTGAAATGATGATACCATGCCAAGTTTCAACATTTCCAGAGTTCATTTTGTACTGATTTTCAATTTCACGGTCAGTTAGCTCTCTAAAGAAATCGCTAAATGACTGAAAATAGCAAATGATGTCAGAACGTGTTGAAAATTGATGACGTCGCTTTGAATGGTCTGGTTTTTTGTACATGAAGTGCGTCCGGTTTTTCCGTAACCCTCTCTACTCTTTTGCACATGTTATGTGGGTGAAATGATGATACCATGCCAAGTTTCAACATTTTCAGAGTTCATTTTGTAGTGATTTTCAATTTCATGGTCAGTTAGCTCTCTAAACAAATCGGTAAATACTGAAAATAGCAAATGATGTCAGAACGTGTTGAAAATTGATGACGTCGCTTTGAATGGTGCATACAGAACACAAAAAAGTCTGGAGTTAAAATAAGTTTAAAAAAATGAAGTGCCCGTTTAACAGATGAGTTCTCTTGCGGAACCCTGATACTCCAAAAGAGATTGTCTAGTTTGTACACGAAGTGCCTCCAGTTTTTGTCGTAACCCTCTCTACCCTTTTGCACATGCTATGTGGGTGAAATGATGATACAATGCCAAGTTTCAATGTTTTCAGAGTTCTTTTTGTAGTGATTTTCAATTTCACGGTCATTTAGCTCTTTAAACAAATCAGTAAATGACTGAAAAATAGCAAATGATGTCAGAACGTGTTGAAAATTGATGACGTCGCTTTGAATGGTGCATACAGAACACAAAAAAGTCTGGAGTTCAAATATGTTTAAAAAAATGAAGTGCCCGTTTAACAGATGAGTTCTCTTGCGGAACCCTGATACTCCGAAAGAGATTGTCTAGTTTGTACACGAAGTGCGTCCAGTTTTTGGCGTAACCATCTCTACTCTTTTGCACATGCTATGTGGGTGAAATGATGATACAATGCCAAGTTCCAATGTTTTCAGAGTTCTTTTTGTAGTGATTTTCAATTTCACGGTCATTTAGCTCTTTAAACAAATCAGTAAATGACTGAAAAATAGCAAATGATGTCAGAACATGTTGAAAATTGATGACGTCGCTTTGAATGGTGAATACAAAACGCAAAAAAAGTCTGGAGTTCAAATAAGTTTAAAAAATGAAGTGCCCGTGTAACAGATGAGTGCTCGTCCGAAACCCTGATACTCCGAAAGCAATTGTCCAGTTTGTACACGAAGTGCGTCCAGTTTTTGCCGTAGCCCTCTCTACTCTTTTACACATGCTATGTGGGTGAAATGATGATACCATGCCAAGTTTCAACATTTTTAAAGTGCATTTATAGTGATTTTCAATTTCACGGTCATTTAGCTCTCTAAACAAATCGGTAAATGACTGAAAAATAGCAAATGATGCCAGAACATGTTGAAAATTGATGATGTCGCTTTGAATGGTGCATACGGAATGCAAAAAAAGTCTGGAGTTCAAATAAGTTTAAAAAATGAAGTGCCCGTGTAATAGATGAGTTCTTGTCCGAAACCCTGATACTCCAAAAAAGATTTTCCAGTTTGTACACGAAGTGCGTCCAATTTTTGCCGTAACCCTCTCTACTTTTTTGCACATGCTATGTGGGTGAAATGATGATACCATGCCAAGTTTCGACATTTTCAGAGTTCATTTTGTAGTGATTTTTGATTTCACGGTCATTTAGCTGGGGCGATCGGCGGGGGAGGACCGGCGCGGGGGGGTTGATGGGGAGACCGAGTGAGTGTGAGTGGAGAGAGAAGAGAGTGAGGGCGTAAACATGTATATATATATATATATATATATATATATATATATATATATATATATATATATATATATATATATATATAATACATTGATTATCGATAATCTTTTTGTGTAAAATCTAAATTGCCAATATGAGTCCTCAACGGTTTAGAAACCGGTGAAGACTCATATTGCGACCACAAATTCTACACATAGAGTTCAATTAGGACCAAGTGCTTCTGATTATTTGAGAAGTAACATATTTAAGGTGGTAAAAATCCTGCTAGGGGAGCGAGGTGGGACTAAAAACAGCCTGCCACAACCTCTTTACTACCGGTTCATGCCATGAACCGGTACTAAAGGGGCTGGCCGGGCCCCAGCCTGACAACAGCCAGCCACTGCCTCTTTAGTACCGGTTTGTGGCACGAACCGGTACTAAAAGTTCACTACGAACCGGTACTAAAGATCTCCTCCCGCCTAACCATTGGAACCGGCACTAATGGACACGTAGTGCCGGCTCAAATTCAAACCGAGACTAATGTGTCTCACATTTAACCATTTTTCTATTAGTGGTAGTGTACTAGGCAAAACTGATGAAAACATCATGATGCAACTTAAGAAAAACACCACGGTGACTGAAGAAATACATGAGCTTTTTATTTGATCAGAGAAACTATGCATCTCCAAGCGCTGCAAGAGGCCAGCATACACCAGAGGATGCTCTACACGAGTACACCACTCCAGTTTCTCCAATCATGCTGCATCGATGATCAGATCAGACGAGCCCACACCTTCCTTCCTACGTACATATACCAGTAGTCCAATACTAATTAACTACTAGTACTAGTAATTAACCAACAACATACGATCGGATTGGCACGAACTTATACATAACGAACTGAACACATAGACGTACGCATGCATGCATGGTGCCGCGCCCGCAATTGATAAACATACCGCAGCTATATAGTTAGGTCATTCTGCTCCATCACGTAGATCAGACCACCTCGACGGCCATTCTCATGGGCGGCAGTGGCGCAGGGTGGTCGACCGGCGGCAGTGTGGGGTGCTCCTCGGGGGGCGGCAGCACGATGTCCACCACGGACACGCTTTGCTGCTTGTCGCCGCCGACGTCGTCCTCCCTGCCGTTCACGACCTCCTCGTCGCCTTCGATGATCGGCGCAACGACGTGTGCCGTTGTGCCGGCCTCCTGCTGCTGCTGAAGTGGCAGCTGGTTCTTCTCGTCGTCCGCCGGGACCTGGACCTCCGACACGGCGCCCTTCTTCTTGGGGTTCTTGTACACCAGGTGCAGCGACATCTGGGCCAGCCCGAACAGCAGCCCCAGCACGTTGGGTGCCTACACACACAGATACACGTTTTGGTCAGTGCAAAACGCGTGCAACGTCTTGAGGTTCCGGTAGCTAGTGCTGAAATGCTGATTGATTTACACTCCTAGTTAACAACAAAAGTTTATAGCTTCACGTTAATTGAACATCATCGTGTGGGGATATACTACTACTAGTTTGACTGATCGTCCTTTACGCCTGTAACTACGATCTTTGCTTTTGGTGCCCAAGATAAATAGTATATACTAGTCCTTGTAGCTCAATTACGTGTTGGGGAGTAGTATCTTTTTGTTAGGTTCTACTCCTGTTCTGGTCATGCATGCAACAACCGGGGGCACCTGGCGCATGACACAGCCGCAGCGCACTAGCTAGCTTGTTTGCGCTAGTATTAGTATGCATGCATGATTGCCCAAAAGTTGGTGTATAAAACCAATTAACCACACCCTAAGCTGGCAAGGCTAGATATCTTAGCTTAGCTCGCGTGCCTGCCTGCTTGCTTGCATGAAAATATTATGCAATTCTTAATTTTGTAGGCCGGGGAAAAAACCGTACCGCTACGAAGAAATCTTTCATGAGTAGGCCGTAGAAGAACCAGACGACGGCGCTGATGGTGAGGAAGAAGGATAGCCAGAAGGGCAGGAACTCCACGCTCTTGGTCCTGATCACTTGCCTCTGCAAATTTAACAGCGTGCCGTCAGTCAACTACGACGATGCAGATGAAGAACGTACAGAGGACAAGGTATTACTCTACTTACGATGATGGCTAGAGGGGCGACGAAGACGGCGAGCGCGAAGGCGGAGCCGATGCCACCGGCGATGGTGACGCGGCTCTCGCCGTCCTTGACCAACAGCTGCAGGACGCAGACCATGGCCCCGTAGAGCGCCATGTTCATGATGCACACGAGCTTGACGGTGAAGGCCCTGGCCTGCTTGGGTGCGTAGGCGAGGTAGATGGCGAGGTAGGCGGACTCGACGACGCACCCCACCGTGTTGATGGTGAGGAGGAGGAGGTCCTTGGTGAGCAGCGCGTAGTAGAGCCACAGCATTGCGCTCAGCAGCGCCATCGCGTAGGGAACTGACTGGAACGACTCCGTCGACTTCCTCGTGTACACACGGTAGAACGTCGGCACCGGCGCCAGGATAACCAGGAACGACAGGATGTTGCCTGCGTGCAAAAAACACAAAGGAAAACAAAAACTCATCAGACCTAGCTACATCTTCTCTCTTACACAAACAAAACAATCTAGGAGTAATTAACACGGGAAATTCATGCATAGTGGTACTGTGGCATACTGGTAGGTTATGGTGTAATTTCATGGAAGTAGGTATAAAATACTCCTACTTGATCTACGTATGAAATTGTGACCATGATGTGCATGCATGCATGCATACCTAGGATGCCCACAGCAAAGACCAAAGGGCTCCCAACGGCACCCATCTTGGCGGGTGGTCTGATACTGATCTCCTGCTCTATAAACAAAGACCAGCTAAACTAGAGCAAAGTGGTCGGTTGACCCCTCTTGCTCTTGGGAGACTACTACTGCATGTAGTGCTGCGTACCACTTGACACTGGTTGCTTCCTGGCCACCCCATGGTATTTATAGAGCTGGGAAAGGAGCTGAGGAGCTTAAAAATTATTATTGTTCAGATCAATCGAAGGACAAGGATGATATAGACTATACAGTTCATTGCTTAACGAGCTTTGCCTTCCACAGTGCATGTATACGTGTGGCCCGGCGCACCATGAGCCATAGTCCTACTCATATTTTTGCCCACTGTATGTGTCGCCCATCGGAGGCATCTCACCTGACATATGGATAAGAGCATCTCCAACAGCCGCATAAAAATTTAGCGCACAATAAAAAATTATAGCGCATCATTATAGCATTTTTATTGCGTCGGGACCAACATTGCTTTTGCAAACGCTTAAAAACGCGCGTCTAAAAAAGCACGCAGTGCAAATTATGAAGTGCGCGTAATCCAAAGCCTAAAATATGTTGCGCGCGAGATAGCGTTTTTCACCGTGTGCCCAAAACTTTTTAACGCGCGCAATATTTTACTGTTGGAGCTGTTCGGCGCTAAAAAAATAAATTTCTAGCACGCGGAGCTTTTTTGGGGCGTCTGTTGGAGATGCTCTAATCAGCTGATTACATGTGTCGGTCGATGGATGATCTTAAGTAAGGCCTTGGGCAACTAATAGCCGTGAAAATCTTGTACGGAAGCCGGCTGGAAAAGAAGAACTTGTAATTAACGCCTCTGTTGAAGCCTCTCCTTAATGAAGCCGACCCACTAGTGACCCAAAAAACAACCATATCTGGACATGGCATTTTTTTATGAGAATAATACGTGTATTACTTATTCACCAAGTCTTTACAATCATCAAAGACTAACTGCAAAACATCCTCCGGGCCGAACCGACCCAAGTCATCTCTGGACATGACTAACTCAAACCCCTCGGCCGTCATTTTTTTTTTGCGGGCAACTCAGAGAGCTTTATTCAACAAAAGTGTTCCCCGAGCAATCAGCCAAGAGGCTGGTTACAAAAAACTAGGGGTCTCCTCGAGCCAACATTCGGTCACATTCAATGTGCATGTACGTTTTGCACATAGATGTGCCGGTAAGTTTGCTGACCTGTTTACATGTTGAATCTCAAAAACAAAAAAAATCACAACTAAGCTCTCCTATTTCATCTAGGATAGGAGCCACAATCAAACGTGAATTGTGGCGTGTATGCCAGAGTTGCACTAACTCCTGACAGTCAGTCTCCATTATCACATGTGATAGGCCTCGAAGTTTTGCAAAGAGCGTTCCTTCTCGCATTGATAAGGCTTCCATTATCAGAGGATCGGATATGTCACCGAATGGCTTGCACCAAGCTCTTAGTAGCACGGACTCGGACCGGGCTATGCCACCCGCTCCTCCTCGACTGTTGGTGTCAAAACTGGCGGATCTCGGGTAGGGGGTCCCGAACTGTGCGTCTAAGGCGGATGTTAACAGGAGGCGGGGGACACGATGTTTACCCAGGTTCGGGCCCTCTTGATGAAGGTAATACCCTACGTCCTGCTTGGTTGATCTTGATGATATGAATATTACAAGACTTGATCTACCACGAGATCGTAGAGGCTAAACCCTAGAAGCTAGCCTATGGTATGATTGTTGTTGTCCTACGGACAAAACCCTCCGGTTTATATAGACACCAGAGGGGGCTAGGTTTACACAGAGTCGGTTACAAGGGAGGAGATCTACATATCCGTATTATCAAGCTTGCCTTCCATGCCAAGGAGAGTCCCATCCGGACACGGGACGAAGTCTTCAATCTTGTATCTTCATAGTCCAATAGTCCGGCCAAAGGATATAGTCCGGCTGTCCGGAGACCCCCTAATCCAGGACTCCCTCAGTAGCCCCTGAACCAGGCTTCAATGACGATGAGTCCGGCGTGCAGATTTGTCTTCGTCATTGTAAGGCGGGTTCTTCCTCCGAGTACTCCATAGAAGATTTTGAACACAAGGGTAGTGTCCGGCTCTGCAAAACAAGTTCCATATACCACCATAGAGAGAATAATATTTCCACAAATCTAATCTGCTGACACGTTTGACAGCATGACATCATACCACGGCCCGATCATTATTCGAACCGTTTTTCTCAACCAGCACTGCACATATCACGAGGAGGTTTTCTTAACACGTCTTGTCGAAGCAGAGATCGTGTCCCCTTATCACGGGATTCTCATCAATACGGGTATGGGTAACCCAACCACGCCATCAATTACGGCGTTCGGAGAATAAGCGATTTTACTAGGTAAGTGGGGAGGCGCATTGCCTTCTCCGCCCTTATAAAGGGACAAAGATTCACCCTTTTTACCCACGCCTTCTTCCTCCTTGCTTATCCATTCTCTCACACTCGAGCTCCAGCGCCCAAGTTCGCGTCTTTCTCCTCAAACCACTCCAAGCATGTCCGGAGCGGGAGGCAAGTGGATGGTGTCGTCTGTCACGGAGGAGAACATCACAAAGCTACGGGAAGCCGGATATCTGGCCGCGGACATCGCGCACCGGCTGCCAGATGCGGGGCAGATCATCACTACGCCCGAACCCCATGAGAGGGTAGTTTTCCTTACCCACTTTGTCCGCGGGCTCATGTTCTACTACGGGCTGGATTTTCATGATCTGGCCCCCAATTTCATCCTCAACATCTCGGTGTTTATCTTCGTGTGCGAGGCCTTCCTCCGCATCAGGCCCCACTTCGTCCTGTGGCTGAAGACCTTCAATGTTAAACCGAAGGTGGTGGTCGGCCAGCAAGCAGAGTGCGGAGGCGCCATGGTGGGCAAAATGCCTAACGTCACTTGGCTCGAAGGCTCCTATGAGGAGACCATAAAGGGGTGGCAATCGGGTGGTTCTACATCACTGAGTCGCGCGACACCAACTGGGTGGCGGCCCCCGAATTCCGATCCGGAATCCCCACGCGGCTCACTTCCTGGAAAGAGAAGGACCTGTCCTGGGGTTCCCCGGTAGAGCTGACCAGACTCCAGACCTACATCAAGAACATGATGAGCAAGAAAATCAAGCTCGTCAATGTGGTCCAGGTCATGCTCTTCCGCCGGATCCTCCCGTGTTAACGACGGGTATTCAATTTGTGGGAGTTTGACCCGGCCAAGCACCAGACGCTGCGAGAGCTCTTCGACACGACGCACAAGGACATCTGGAAGGTGTTGTTCAAGGGCGCCGAGGTACCTCCTCCCCTTACCGAGGACCGCGAACTCAGCGCAAAGCGCCATGCCAATCCGGTAAGTTTTTATATCTCACAGGATATTTATTTGCCCCAGTTTAATCATGTGCGGGATTTAAGCTTCCATGCCCTTAACAAGACTGGGTAGAGACGGCGGAGCAGATCGATTGCCTAGCCCCCTACCTGAAGATCCTGCAGATGCTCTCCTAGCGGAGATGCTGGTTCTAGCGCCTTACAAGGTGTCAGTGAAGAAGGCCAAGAAGAAGGCCACGGGGACCCGAAAGGGTCTCCGGCGCAAGGTTATATCAGACTCATCGTCCAATAACTCCGAGGCGCACTCCTACGAAAACGAGGAGGAGGAAGAGGAAAGCCCCCCCCCCCAGCCGGGGGAGACAAGAAAAGGAAGGCCGCCCCAACCGGGGAGGCCGAAGGGTCCAAGAAGGGGAGGACCCTCCTTTCGGACTGCTCCACGACGGCCGCCTACAGCGGCGACGAGTGGTTACCCAGGGACAAGCCCCTGGTGAAGTCGTAAATATCCGGATACCATAGTAATTCACGGTATGTTTTATTGCACTACTTCTCCTTACGCCGAATATGATTATGCAGTCTGTCCCGAGCCCGTCTTGACGTATCTTCGTCGGACGGTTCTTTGGACTCGTCGGATATGAATAGCAATTCACTTCCGACCGCCTCCACCCCTTGCCCTACGGACAACGTCGAGGTGTTGTCTCAAAAGGCACCGAGCCGAGGGGAGGTAGTCCTGGGGCGCCTCGAGGCGACCTTCCGGACCTTGGGCGCAAAGGGAGCAAGACTCCCACGGGCTCCAAGTTCGGCCCCCAGCCGAACACTGCGCCGGAACCTTCGGTGGTTCCGGACTCCGGCAGGCGATCCCCCGTTAAGAGGGGCAAGCCGCCCGTGTCGGTGGCCTCTGTCCATCCACAGGCACCGGACAACTTGCTGGAAGCGCTTCGCGGTGCTTCCATCGACGAAGAGCACCACACTATCATGAGTGCGGTGATCGAGAAAGTTCAGTCCGCCAAAAGCGGACTAACCGAAGCTTGTGCTAGCCTCCTAACAGGTTTTGAGGTAAGCAATCAAAATATAGGAAAATATTACCGCATAGACAGTAGCCCCTGATGCTCTGTTTGGCGTTCGCGATGAAAGGCCGAATAGAGGATCAAATAATGACTCAGGAGTCTAATCAAAATATCTCTATGTGCATATGCAGGCTTCACTGCTAGCCGCTGCCACACGTACTGCGAAGGTCGCTGCACTGAAGCAGGACCTTGAGCGGTCCGAAGTCGACGTCGGCCTTACCAAGAGGCAGCTCGAGGAGAGCAAAGGTAAGCAATACCTTGTCTATATATTAAAAAGAAATTCGGTTGTAAAGTAATAGGATCATCATGAATTTGCCAGGGGCCACAACCGAGGTGGCGACCCTGAAGAAGGCGCTGTCCGAGGCCAAAGACAAAGCGGCCAAGGAGCGCATTGAGCGGGAAAAGTAAGAAGCCCGGGTAGGCGAGGTGCAGCAAGAGCTCGAGGCTCTCGCCAAAAAACATGAGTCCTTGGATCTTGACTCTAAGACGCGGGAGTCCGAGCTTGCGATGGCGCTCGAAAGCGCACGGAGCGCCAAGGCTGAAGCCCACAAGGCCCTCCAGGAGATGGATGTGGTGAAGAAGATAACAGCGGGCCAGCTAGGGCATTCATTATGCAAAG